TCCAAAACGTGATGGCTCCCAGGTCTGACTCTGCTGCATGGAGCAACCTCAGGGCGTGTCTGCACCTGGACCGCGGGGTCGCCGGCAGGTTGGGCTGGAGCCTTTAAATAGCACACGAAGAAGCAGCAGCTGGCAGAGGCCGAGTGCCTCGTCTCAGCCGAATGACCAATTAGGGAATCACAGCGAAGAAGGGCGAGGGGCGGGAAGAGACAAAGAAAAGCAGCTCAGATAAGTCTCTCTTTATCGGCCGGTAAAAATACCACTTTCGCTTATCAGCCCAGGCCTTTCGCTTCGCAGCTGCAAAAGCCAGGCGGGCCCCGAGGAACTGGAGAGGGGAGCCGGCCGCTCATTCCTTGCCAGGGTCTCTCCAGACCTCGTCAACTAGCCGGCGAGGGGCGGTCCAGCCACGGATACTCCGAAATGACCGATATCGCCCCCCCCCCACTACGAGACAGCAAATAAAAACAAAAACAGAAGAGCTATAGCACCTTAAAGATTCCCAGATTCTACTTTTCTGATTTGAAATCTGTTTTCTCAGATACACGAGATATAATAATATAGTGAAGAGGACTGGGGAGCAAGTGAGACACACACACAAAAAGAAGGTGGCAATTACGTGGGCCCTTCAAAACGGCAACACTGTTGTTAACGCTGCTGCAGTTATCAGCAATCCGCTGGTTTTCAAGAAGCTTGAAGTTCTGTCTAGGAAAAGAACCTATGGGTTCTCGTAGCTCTACCCAAGCTGTGGATGAACCCAGAGTAGTTCCATGCTGTATTTGTCTGCTGCATGTATATATGAAAGTAGGCCTATTGTTTGCTAAATATCACACTGACAGAACAAGTACCTTTCTGAAATAGCAATGGTATAGCAAATTTGTAATATTTCTTATCTATTACTCTTATAAGCAAATGATGCAGGAAACCATATAAGGAATTCAATGTTAAGGATTGTTAAGGATTCAAAATAAAGCATCACCTGAATGGTGCCTTTAGAAGAAAAGTACCATTTGAAATGTTGTGACAAAATAATGTAATTGAGAAAACATGGCCTTCAAGGTAGAACAAATGAGACCATCTCCTCCACAGTCTGCAAATGACAAACAATAATTTAATAGACTAAACGATGGATGGATGGATGGATGGATGGATGGATTTGTTGATGGACTGATTGCTTTCACTGTAAAATGCATCTGGGAATGTTGCCCAAGTACATTTATTTGGGGGCCAGCTGGATAGCTCACTGAACTGGAGCACCTGGATTGGGAGTGTGTCGTGTCAGGAGAACAGCCAGCCTGTTTAGCCTTGAGTAAGGTACACAATCCAGAATGCCCCAAGAAGAAGGGAATGATGAATCACTTCTGAGTAAGGAATGCCTAGAAAACCCTGGGAAGGGTTTGCCATGAATGAGGTTGACTTGATGGCACATTGCTGCTGCTGTTTCCCAGCGTGGTTGGTGTTTGGGGCAGACCAAACAATTAGGAACCAAATTCTAAAAAGTTGCTGGTCATGTTAGTCAAATCGTTGGTTTTTGCATTTCAGGAAGTAAATTATCAGCAATTGACAATTATTTTAAATTGGTAACCAGATATTTGAGAAGAGTCCCAGTGGCTAAAATGAGTAGGAGGAAGGGATGATTGGTTTTGATCTTGCTTCATTCTTTTGATTCCTTGCCTTGATGTTTTGGTGTGTGTTTTTTTGCACTTTTGAAGGTGCTTGTGGATAGAACTCCAACTTCTATAGGGCATGTTTTTTCCTGGTGGCTTATCCAAAAGTATAACAGCCAGCTTACTAAAATCAATTATTTTATCCCCGATAACTTGCAGAACTATTTTGGGACAACAAAATAGTTATGTAGTTTCATTTTCTAAAACTGGAGATGGCTGGAATTTATAATCTGGAAGAAAGGATGGGAGTAATCTATAAGATTTGGGCAATTACTGGAAAATAATATTTGCAGCATGGCTATGCCAGCTCAAGTAATTGCTGATGCTAAGCTTTTGAGTCATTTTTGAGGAGAAAGGCAGGGTAAAAATATTTTAAAGAAAGAAAGAAATATGACATCATGACGATCATATTTATTTGGGGAACAAGTAACATTGAAGGCAAACAGAACTCACATCCAAGTAGAAAAAACACAGCAAAATTATGCTGCTATCTTCTCCACACCTCCTCGGGGCCTGCAGATTCCATGGGACTCCGTGGTAGGACTTCTAAGTGAGCATGCCAAGACTCAGGTTATCATCTCTCTGAAGTTCTGTAACCAGTGGAGCTGTCAGGATGAGACTGTAAGGCACAGTCCCAGAGCTCCACTCACTACTATATCTAGGAGGAACCCCTAGAGTTGGAATTAGAGTGAGCAACTGGATCTTTGACTTAGGATGTCATGCTGGAAGAAGCGAATACCTTCTGTTGGTATTAGCTGCAGAAAGGGCATTTTGTACCCATCTCCCTGTATGTATCTACCAGCTCCATCTGCTCCTCTCTGTGTGTGTGTGTGGGGGGAGAACACAAAACAGGTGGGATAAGTGTGGAACCTTTATGTCTATCACAACGGTGTGGATCAAACCCCCCCCCCATCTTCTTCCTGCGCATGTCACTCTCTTAACCAAAACAGCAGCCCAGGGTGGTAAAATTGCTAATTGCCTCTCTGTCAATGTCCAGTGCAGCAGGGTTGACTTTCTACTACTAGAAGTGAAATAGCACATACTGTACCATCGTGTCCAAATCATACATATTGCCTTTGTGAAATGTTTCAGTTCAGAGTCTAAAAAGTACTTAAGCACATCAGTGAACTCTACACATGTTTAGTAGGAAGGAACTTGCTGTGACTTATTTCTGACTACATAGGTATAGCATTGCAATGTAACTGTGCTCCAGAATTGCAACCAAATTTATATTTTAATTTTATTGGGTTTGATTGAGACCAGAGCCTGGAACAGTTGGGATTTTTATATATATATATATATATATAACTATCAGAATCGCTTACTTAGGATGGCCACAGTGACTGGAAGATTCTGCGAGCTGTCATCCAAAACAAAAAAACAAAAACCCTCTAACTTTCCCAAACTGGGTCCCACATTTAGAGTAGACCCACTGACATCAGTGGCAAGATTAGTGTAAGTTCAGTTGCTTTCGGTGTGTTGCTTCTAAAGGACTCTTGGCACTAATTAGTATCCTGCCCCTCTCTGGCACTTCAGAAGTCCATGAAAGTTGGAACTTGGAAGTTTTGATCCACTGAAGTTTAGAGTCTCCTAGAGAAGGAGGAAATGTGCATGAGGTGCCATGTTAATGAATGGGGATGCAAATATGCATCCATCACCAGTTTCCCATAGCCAGTTTTACTACCCAGCCGAACTTATTTCTCCCAAGGTCTCCTCAACTACCCACAAGAAGAAGAAACCTGCAGTGTTGCCAAGGTTTGCAAAAGACCAAAACACTAGGGCACATTTAAGCAGGAGACAAAACCCTAAACTGATATGGCTCTTCAAAAACCCAGAGGGGAATGTGCATGTCCAATGGATGCATGGAATACAGCCTGACTGTGGAGAAAAGAAGAAGGAAGGAGCCCCATACAGCTGGGGCTCTTTTCCTTGCAACTTTCTCCCCACAACCACCCCCCTTTGGATTAAAATAACAATAGCGATAGAAATCCTGTTGCTTAGCATAGTAAGCTAAGCTATCAAGGGGGTTTAAATAGCGATAGAAATCCTGTTGCTTAGCATAAGCTATCAAGGGGGTTTAGTGAGTTCTCTTCTGTAAATTTCATTGATGCAAATGGAGCTACTCTAGTTGTCAATTATTGTGTGCAAATGGAGCTACTCTAGTTGTCAATTACTGTGTTAAAGTAAGCCACAACTAGAGTAGGCCCATTTGAACCAATGGAATTTAAGGAGGAATTGGTTTACCGAATCCCTACTGATTCAATAGGCCTACTCTAGAGCGACTTGTGACACTAAGCAAGAGTATTTCAGCCTCTCCATCATAAATAAATATATATTTGTAGTTAAAAGTAGCTAACAATAGAAAACCAACATAACAAGCAGTATTAAAATAAATGTGTTGTGAATAAGTATTTTACACAAATACTAACGATGCCTGTTTCTGGCGAGAGTCAGCGAGAATGAATCATTAAATATCCAACTTCTTCAGTCTGCTTTGTTTTAAAGAAGCCATAGTAATTTGGGGGTCATCCATATAAACAGGAATACAGTGCCCAACTAGAATTCAAGAGACCTGGGTCCAAATCCCAGTTGGGCTATGGGAACTGTAAGTGGGACCTAGAAATGCTGAACTCCTTGAACCTCTCCCATACTTAGAAAATGTGATCATAAGTCAGAAATGACGTGAAGGCACTTTATAGCCATGCTTAAGACATAATGCTCTGTGTGCAGGTTTCATAATTCTGAGAACCATCTGCAAATAGAAGGATATTGTGGAATCTGAGCTTATTGTAGAAATGTGTATAATTCTTTCCTCTGAGTGATAAAATCAATGAAACAAACAAAAAACACTTCTTCAGTTAAAAAGAGAGCTAGTTTTTCTTAATACAATTCCCAGTCAGAAGTGATCGGCGGCCTCCTCGTCCCACCCCGGACTACACCTGTTCCAGAAGGCTTTTAATTGAAATTATATCCGATGGCAATTTCTAGAGTATGTATTTTTAACTGCATTTCAATTATTTTGCCTTTTTTGTATTTTAAATGTTGTAAGCCGCCCAGAGACCTTCGGGTAGTGTGGTCGGCATATAAGTTAAATAAATAAATAAATAAATAAATAGTGACACAAACAGAAACCCACCCCAGCACCCCACAAAATTAGGTCACCGCCCTTCTCTTTCTTGTTGGAAGTGTGAAAGAATTAATGCGTCCAGGTCGTGGATTTAGGCAGAAAGTTCTCGTTGACCCTCGCTGCCTCTAGGATTCTGGGCAAGGGAAAAGAGAAGATCTTACGAAATGTCTCCTCCTTCTCCGTTTCAGCCGCCGGCGTTTTACACCTAAGGAGAACCGCTTTCTTCCACCCAAAGTGCCACCACCTGGACCTCTGAAAAACAGAATGACAGGAAACTAAGACCAAGGTAAAACAGACTTTATTCAGCCTTGCTTTTGCTTTCGGTTTGGAAGCCTCCTTTCGAGAGAGAAATAACCGACTTCCTTCTCCGGTGTCTCGCCGTCTGCTTAAAGTCCGGAGATTTCTTTTGGGCGGCGAGGGCGCTTTAAGCCCCTGAAGTGACATGGGGAAGGGCATTTTATCTTTCAGTCTAATTTTTCCTCCGTTGAAAGCGGGAAGTCGGCCCTCTCGCAATCTCGACGAGGCTTCGTCTTCCCCAGCCAAGTGAATTTAGCTCTTCCCCCCCTCCTTGTTCACGGTTAGAACAATGTCCTTCCAAGCTGCCCCATCTGTTTCTTCTAATGGTGAACAAGAGGGGAACTAATAATTCCCTTGCAGTCCTGTCTCTTAGAGCGTGCATTGATTGAAATCGCTCGGCGTCGGAGGATTACAGAGCATGCAGGCTTCTTTTAGGTTGGATTTAAAAATACAAATAAAACTTTCCTAAGAAAGGAGAAGTCAGAAGTGAGTATAAGTTGGTGGGAAGGGCGTATATATATATATATATGGGTATTGAACTCCACCTACAGTATTTTTAACCAGCTGGCTTCTGTAGTGTTAAGCCGCCGAGCGCGGGAGGAAGGGCAGTGCAAGGTCCTCGGGGCAGAGATGTCTGGTCTCCCTTCTGCTGAGCTCGCCAGGTGGTTAAGAGGCCGAGTATCGGCTTCCCTGCTCCTGGACCTCGCATTCCTAACAACAACGCGGCAGGATGCTTCTTTGCTTTGTGTCGGTCTCCTTTCCCTTAAAGGCAAGTCAGAGTCGCGACGGCGGCCGCTGGAAACCCAAGTTTGGTTTTACTATATTACGGGTTTCGGATAAAGAGCGGTTGACTGAATAGGTGGAGAACTATTGTTAACAGCTTTGTGGTTTCGCCGAGTGTTTTGGCAGGAGTTGCTGCCGAGTTTCCCCCGTCCTTCACCCTCCCAATCATCTGGACGTTATAAACCCCCAAGGAGGAAACCTCCGGGTGTTTTGGGTTGCAATTTTCCCATCGTCCCCAGACGTTACGACCAGCGTTTGGAGGGATGGGACCTGCAGTCCAAACATCTAGAAGGCACAGGGCTGGAAAGGGCGCGATCCCCAACTTCGGGGAGTTTTAGGCCAAGGCCGGGAAGCTAAGGCTGGCAACCAAGTAAGGTTGGAGCCACAGACTCGACAAGGATCTACGTACCTTTTCCACAGTAGATTCAGGGGCTCTACTCTTCGTCCGGGAGGGCAACAGGAAGATTGGAAATCCCATCAATGTCCGAGGACGGCCTTCCCGTCCATCTCCAGAGTTTTCTTACCTTCCAGGATTTCTGTGCTTCGGGAGCCACAGAGACTCCTTTGGCGGCTCGTTTGAAGCCTGGCATCTACAGAGTCCCGTGCCAGATTCCTAGGCCAAAAGAGGCCTCGGAGCACCTCGGGGCAGGGACCTGCTCTCTTGTACTCTGAGAAGGGGCACGTGCAGAGGTGGCTCCGCAGCCATGTAAACCAGAAGTCGCTTGATGGAAAGTGAAAGCACTTTTGATCCCTTGGCTGCGGGCCTTTGGCGAATCTTTCCGCACACGCAATAGGATTGTGGAGGCAAACTCCCTCAAGCCTGCGGATGATGGAAGTCGACCTGCCGGCATCCGATGCTGGTTAGGAATAAGGGGAGATCTCGCCCGGCGCTTTTATGAAGGGCGTCCGGTTTAGAAAGTGACCCCGGACATTTTAATTGTAGAAGCGCTGTCTACTTGGAAAATCTAAATAAGAATTTGGCAACTCTCCTTTCCTCCCGTCTCGTAGTAAGGTGGCCCCTTGAGAACTTTCTACCCGCTGCAGAAGCCTCGGATCATGCCGGGGCGCTCTCGCTCTCGGGAGCTTCGCTGGAAAGCCCTTCTCGGAGGGAGCGGGCGGCGCCCTTGCGGTCTCGGCGCTGATTTTCGGGCAACGAGCGAAACCTGCCGATCAGCAACGATGGGCAGAGCGAGCAGCAGCCTTGGCCGTCCTCAGCGGCTCTGCCGGCCGCCGAGGCCCGGCCAGTGGAGGGGCTTGAGGGCGACACAGGCGGCGCCTGCCGCGCTTACGGCCTCCACGAGCAACTTCGCTTTACCCTTTCCTCCCTCCTGTGTGCGGGGCTCGGGCAGTGGCAGCTGCTGAGAGGAGCGGGGAACGGATTTAGACCCAGGGTCTGGTTCCCTAAAATCGACAAGAGATCCCGCGTGGTCTCCTTGGGGCGGCCTGAGAGCAGAGAAGCTGGCGAGGGTCTGATTTTGCCCTCTCAGCCATCCGAATCGTCCTGGGTTTAGGGAAGATATTGGGGAGAGAGCGAGAGAACTTGGAAAAGTTCGCTCTTTTTTTTTTTTTTTAAGACACAGTTACCAGAATCTCCCTGTCAGCAGGAGCACCGCTAGCGATAGCGGTTGTACGATTCGGGGAGATGTGGGGCCAAGTGACTTCTGCCAGGCCTGGCGGGACTGAGGAGGTGAAACTCTGTCCATCTGTCCCTTTGTTTTGAAAAATGGTGTGTTGGAGGGGGGGCGAGGGGAGAAGGCACTTCCGGAGTTGGGGTGGGGGGGTCGCTTTGAATGTCTGCATGCTCTTCATCCTTTGCTCCAGGGGTCTCCTTGTCCAGGCCATGACGACCTCCAAGCAGGCTTCTTATTCCTTTCGTTTTGCTGCCGAACCGATTCCACTGGTTTTAAAACATTTTTGACCTCCCGTTCCACTCTCCGAGGCTGGAAAACGATGAACTACGCAGAGAGTTAAAAAAAAAAACCGATTTGTTCCTTTTTACATAACATTTATACTGTACTCTAGGAGGGGAAAAAATCGATCTGGTAAAGAAGGGGTGTGAGCAGGAGACGTGAGCAGTTGAATATCCGAGTTGGGGCTTCACGTTTTTGCTAGACTAGGCAAATAGACTCGGCTGGCCCGGGTGAGTCACCATCCCTCGGATGAACCCGCCCAGCCCAGAAGTGTATTATGAGGAAGATCATAATACAACACGCAGTTGTTTGGGTATTAACCTAAGAGTGGGAGCAAAACGGTTGTAGGAATAAATTAGAGGCAATTAAGAAACTTCGTTTCCAATATTGCATCTGTCATGAACTCATCAGGTGGCTTTATGGAAGCTTTATATAAACACACAGTATCGGGGTGATGATGATCAGCTGTGTGAAACTGACTGGATATTCGCAGCCTGTTTGTTTATTGAAAGTATTTGCTTGCTGTTTTTCTCCCCAGCGGGGCTTCCAGAGTGATGCACAATAATAGAAGTCCTGGATAACGCTTGCTTGGTGAAATATCAAGCAAGGGCTTGATATCAGATATTGATATCAATCAAATATTGCCCTGTTTCAAGTTATTTCCAATTTTAATTTCTGAAATTCCTGGAGTTTCTGAAAATATTACCAACACCACTGTCCAAAGCTCTACACAGGGAAAAAGTGCAAACAGCATTGAGATTACCGATAGTGGCAACAGACATTCTGGGATGCAAAATGTTTGTTTCCCCATTAAAAAAAAATTCAACAGATCCACTTAGAGCATCGCTCTAGAAATATTGTTGCATGAAGTCCTGCTGATACAACATGTGCAGGAGATTTTACTCTGACTTGCTCCCCAGTTATACCTCCAAAGGCCCCTGGTTCCTAAGTTCTGGTAAAGCATAATTTACAGGAATACTTAACCATCAAGCATGGTCAGGAACTTGACCATCAGTGTCTTTCTCTTGCATTGAGGGGCAGGGGAGGCAGCGTTACAACAGGCATGTAGTAAATTTAGAGAACATGTAAATAAAATAGGATGTTTAGAGGTGCCCAGATTTTATTTTATTTGGACAGCAAACATGTAAAGTACTATTCACAGATTTTTCCCCATATAGCCTTTTAAATAGCCCATACATCTATCCATTTAGCAAGGCTTTTTTAAAAACACGTACATCTGAAACAATTCGTGTGTGCTAAATCCAGTTGTAGTCCCATTTGAGTGGCGGATCCCATTCATTCCAATGGGCAGGCTGTAGCTGGAATTAAAACTGGATTTATGTGAATTCTATGTTCAAAATGCATTATATATCACAAATCAAAGCAATGGTAGCAGAAAGAAAATGCCAGAATCCATATTGGGACAATTCCTGCATAGGCCAACTAATAATTGTACCAAAAAGTGCCCAGGCTTTCCTGGTAGTTATTTCTTCATCCACCAAATGACAAAATTATGAGGGCTGACCTTGGATCACAGTAATGTGCAGGATGCTTTAGGATGCAATGGAGGTGGCAGACACAGAGAGTAAAATGAGGCTCATTCATCAGGTGACTCCATAGTGTTTATTTCAGCTGGTGTATTTATTTATCAGATTTATACCCTGCACTATCTGGCAACCAAGACACTTTGGGTGGCTGTAGCTGGAAAGTATGTGTACAATTCTGGAGATGCTGGATAACTTTTCCCAATTTCAGAGAGTCAAAAGCTGAGCTCCTGGCTAAGCCCTAACCCTGAACACATTATGTACTCATGGATCCCAACAATTTAAAAACTTTTCACCCCTCAATTTTTGATCAATTAAAGGGAGCAGCCTGTGCTCTCCCCATTTAAAAAAACATTCAGTTGGGTCACCTCTGCTCAGTTTCCTTGAGAATCGGTGGGTCAGAAGGAGAAGGGAGGAGGGGAGGGTTAGAGAGAAACGCACCTCTTGTTCCCATGAGAAGGACATCCATTGAGATGGGCCAATATTTAGGAGGCAAGTAATTTTAATGTAAACAGTAATTTTCAAATTCTTGTTCGTAGCCAAAACCGTTAGGTTTTGTAGCATCTTTGTAGAGCAGTTATGAAATACTTTGTTCTTATTCTTTTTTTAACTCCCTCCATACCAGTGTCCAAATTACTCTGAAGTGTCTTGTGCGGGTACAATTGTAGAGGTGCCTGATCCGTTGAAAATTAAAGCCTCGGTATACTGGATGGGACTAATTTTGGAACAACCCTGCAGATGTTTAGTTAAGG